TATATTTATTTCTTTTATTTTCCGACGTTTTAAGGTCTCGAGTTCAAAAATATAAAGAACTTAGGGGTTATTTTTTGGCCGATCGTCATATTTTCCTTCTGTCTGAATGAATCAGAATGAATTTTATATTATTACATGAAAATTTCTGTTTCATAAGAATATTATTAAAAAAAACTGATTCTTTGAAATAAAGATAAATTCATTTTAGTCTCGAATTATTTTTACATTGTCGAATACGTAAACAATATTCATCTCTGGCGTATTATACGCTTGCCATTATGTTTACACACCAGAGATTAAGCTCTGTCATTTTAAGGTCTTTCTTAAAAACTTTTTTATTAAATTCTCGCTGAATAAATTACATATTTTTTCTTTTAATAAAAATTTCATAAGATCTGTATGTCAACTTACGAGAAATAATCTTATTTTCACATAAATTAGACTACTTTTACTCGAGTAATGAAAGAAATTTGATCGGTACGAAGCTCTTATTAGTTGAATTTTTAATCATTTTATTTTTAAAATCAATTCCTTTTATTTGTAATTCTTACGAAGTATACAAATACTCTTCTTTACTTATTTTATTACAGATATAATTACTTTTTTCATTGGGCAAATTAAATATTCTTTCTTAAAAGTATGGTTCAAAATCCTCCGAGTGTATAGCTTGGAGGATTTCATTTTCTACAAGTGCTTAATGGGCAATCGAAGAATTGAACGAATTATTAAGAGCAGTTAAAGAAATATTTAACAATTTACGAATAGTTTTAGATGAGTGTAAGTAACATCAGTAAATTTGATTAAATTTAATTTAATTTAAAATACATCTTCATCGGAGAGAAAATTGTATAAATTTTGCTGTTAATGCTAAATAGGTATAAATATTTATTATATTTCATTATTCGTCAGTGATGTGTTATAGCTACACGGGAATTTGAATTAGGGGATTGTACGGTGTTGATTTCGGGCATTTTTCTTCGGGAAAAATATTCCCTTATAAAAAGCTGATTTGGGGCTCACTCTTGGTAGGGCCCGAGGCAACTGTCTTTCTGTTTTGTCCATAGGATAACATAGGATTTGTGATGATATTTCAAAATAATTTTTGGGTTATTTAGAATGGATTAATGAAGAAAATTTACGTAGATAATCCGCTAATTACCTTTTTTTTTACTGTAATCGCGAGTGATAAACCTCTGAATTTGTCTTCAATTAATATATTAAAGAAGAGAAGGATTAATTAGTAAAATTTTTAATTAACGACTGTTCTTCGAGGTATTCTAACGTATTTTTCAATCCGTTAAACCGTAAACAGGCTGTTTGGAGTTGTTACAAAATAAAAGTCAGCGACTAACGTATGAAGCTGGAGAAGGTTATTTTGAACGTCTTCTCCAATAATAATGCGCGACATAAATACTGAATTATTAATGGTGCCATTTACGCCTTTTATTATTGTTTTGTTTAAACGTCTCTCGCCTTGTTAATCAACGGAGTGACGCTTTCGAAATAATAAAATTTTTACGAGTTTTTCTTGTATTTTTCTATTATTTCTCTACTCGCAAATAACTTATATTTATATTAATATAAATAACATAAAGAATATATTTGTTCTAATAAATATTTGATGATATACGTCTGTTTTGAGAAACGAGTTGTCTTACTTAATTTCTATAACCTCTTAAAAGCGACATTTTTTGTATTATATTGAATACAATTATTTTGTGGTGGCCGATCGGTTAAAACGCTCTCGGGGACGGGTGGAATAACCCCAGAAAGTTTTTGGGGCCTCCGATCTTCCCGCTGTGGCCCTTCTATAAAGGCCCTCTCGGTGCTTACAAGGCGAAAAGAATTAAACAAAATAATTGTAAGAACTGTTTTATGCTTAATTTCGGTAAACTAAGCCAAAATCGTTTGAAATTTTTATCGGTAAATTCAGAAATTTCGAATTTTATTCGACATTTCGTCAAAATGTTTTTAAACGAAATAAATCGACACGTGGGATGTGTCCAATCCTCCAGTGAAATGTGCGGAGGCGAGCTTCAAACTTAAGTGAAATTAGCTTATTTATAATTTACGTCCACATAAATTTTTAAACTTACGATAAAGAAAAAGTATTAGGAAAACGGATAAAATATTCGCAAAAATTTTTACAGTTTTTTAAGATCCACTTTAAATCTAACGTCGAACATACGTTAAACACAGCCGAAAAATCTCACGTGTCCAACCCGTTTAGGGAGGAACGAACCCTCCAGAACGACGGAGTTAAGGCCTCGGATCCAGCAATTTCTGGAAGACGAACCATTCCTCGCCACCCAATCGTCCCATAGATTGGCCCATTCCTCACCACCGAAACCTATTTTATTCTGTAGAGAAGCGCTTCATCTTCCAGCATTTATATTCTTCGTTCGTCATTGAAATGTTTAAATAATGATCATTTTTTTATGTGTATTATGTCAGACAAAACGTATCTATTTAAAAACATTCCCGACGGCAAAATTATTTTCCATTTATCTGCAGCAATAGCCATAAAAATTCTAGGCGACTAAATTATACTATAATTTTAAAATTATACACCCCATTTAATACAACGACGGTTGTATTTTTCTTACAAGAAATGGGGAAAACAATCAAATACTTTCTAAAAAATTTCCAGCTACGAGTTGCTTAACTTTCCCGGCAAACATTTAGTGGCGCCATCTGTTATGAAATTTTATTTTAAATTTTTTAAAATATTTTTAACTATTATAAAATGGCAAAAAAACTTAATTTTGAGGATTTATAAAAATTGTAAATGCTAATAACTAGTAAAATCGTTATTAAGTCCGACCCTAATGGAGATACACGCGTCTCTCTTTATCTCCCCAACCCCTCGACTTTTAATCACCAAAATTTAATAGTATCGAACCACCTAATGCACAAACCTCCCTGCAAAAATTCAGGAATTTTAGAATAAAAACACAAGAGTTATTAAGCTTCAAAGAGGGTGAACAAAATCTCCATACACTAACATCAGACAAAAAATCCCCAAATTTCTTTGCATTTCTCGATATTTCCAGGTGTCCCGAGTACAAAAATGTAAATATCTTGGGGGTCATTTTTCGACCGATGGCCATACTTTCCTTCTGTTATATAAAACAGTCGAAAAAGTAAACAATAAAAACCCCAAAAATACCTTTTGTACTTTAAAAAATTGTTCTCGAATAAAATGATTCGGTTCTAAAACAAAAGAAAGTTATTTATATTCGTTCATCTTCGTATTATTTTTTATATTATTCGAATTTCCAATCGAGTAAAAAAAAATAACCTATTTATTACGTTGTTCGAATTGAATAACGACGTCCATTACTAAAATTTAAGACGATTTTATACAATTTAAAGATAAAAAATACAATAAAAGTATATTGGATTTTTTACAATACTTGTCCAATAACATGTAAATTCTCTTCCGAAGATTTTTAGATTTGTATAGCGATTTAAAGTAGGAATTTCGACTTCCAAATAAGCTACACGCAACTATTTTTTAAAATTTCTCTAATGTTTATTAATGGATCTTGTTTATACGGATAAAAATATATTTATTTTTAAAAAATTTTAATTAAAAATAAATTTAGAAACGTTTAAATAAAAATATAAGTTAATTATTTATTTAAACAGAGTATTTATGTATGAATTATTAAAGAAAATAACTGGTGTTGTAATAGTTTCCCAACCTTTAATGTACGCGTGTTGGTAATAATTATATAGAAATTGACACGCAACTTTCCAGGGAGATCGTAATCTACCGGTTGAGAGAGAAAATCTAGTCGGTCATTAAAAAACGATTTAGTTATTAATTAGCGCAAAACTTGCCACTAGAAATTACACAAAAAGTTCTCTAACACGTTTCTAAATATTTTTAAAAAATTAAAAAGTCGTATTTTATAAAATTTACGGACAAACAAACAATATTTATTAATGCGAGATACTTATAAAGGTCAACTGTCAACAGACACTTAAGACGAACTGTAGGTTTGAATGACGACGTTTTCCTATTATTCCAATAGGAAAACGTCATCATTCAAACCTATCATCGGGATATTTTTATCTGGAAGATAGTTTATCGAGTTACAAAATTATCTTCCTATTTTATATAGATATATTGTTGTTATTAATAAGGCGACTTTACTAGGTGTTGCCTTACAACAAACACGCTTCTCGCCTCATTCCTACGCTTTATACGTTAAGAAGGAACCTTAATTTTCGACTAAATTCAATATTAAGTTTATGCAGACGTTTGAAATGTTTAAAATTTCAATACAATGGGTAACGTTTAGAATCAATATCTTAAGAAATCCAACCCAACCAGCATCCTCGTGTCAAATTTCTCATTAGCGATTATTGATCAAGCGATACATTAAGAACTTTTATCGAACAATTTATTAAAAAATTCATATAAATTGGAGGAAAAAAGCAATTTTATAATGAAATTACAGTGCGGGAAGTATTATTTTAAAAGGCTTAAAAGTACAGTATGGAGACAAGTTAATGGTAAACAAAAAACATTAAGTATAAGAATAAATGGTTTAAGTATATACGTTGAGATGATGTTATCTAGAAATAGAATTGTCGATAGACCCCGATCGAAAATCTGAACCATTACTTAAATGTCAAGGGTATAAAATAGTTTTCAATTGGGACTATTCCAGAACTAAACTGTTCGATTCTTGAGATAAATATACGAATGTAAGTTATTACCTGTTGTTTCTATATTTACGAGTCAATTAAGACTTTAACTAACTTCAACACCGAATTGCGCATATATATAGATAATTATACATTGGTAGATTTTGTCCTCAATTGGGACACCACTCAATCTTTCTTCCTATCCATACAATTACTTCTGTTTGAAGCTCCTTATACGGAGGGCTTCCAGCGAGCTTGTGTTTTTCTTATCGTAATTATATATTGATAAAATATTTTATAAATAATTTACCTTTGGAATGATTTCTTCTATTTATTTTCAGAAAAAAGCACCATGACGGACGAGGACATAATAGAGTTGGATAGCGAGATTCGTGATTCAGACATAGAGAACCTTCTGGTTAAGCCGACCGCCTTGTATTTACTGAACGATACCATAAAACGAATATGTAATTTCACCAACAACTCGCGCAGTTTCTGCAATAGCACGGATGATTACGATCGACACGACTACAGCGATGCGGAAGCCATGGAAAAGCTGCTCAGCATCATCGTTCCCATACTCTTCGGCATCATCTTCATAGTCGGGCTTTTCGGAAATTCTCTGGTGGTCATCGTCGTCCTGTGCAACCCCCAAATGCGTTCCACCACTAATTTGTTAATTATTAATTTAGCCGTTGCAGATTTACTGTTCATCGTCTTCTGTGTGCCCTTCACGGCTTGGGATTACGCGCTACCCTATTGGCCATTTGGAGATGCGTGGTGTAAGGTCGTACAGTATTTGGTCATCGTATGCGCTTACGCTAGCATATACACCTTGGTTCTGATGTCTCTGGATAGATTTCTAGCAGTCGTCCATCCCATAACTTCGATATCTCTCCGCACCGAACGAAATGCTCTAATTGCCATCTTTCTGGTTTGGATCGTGATTCTATTGTCCTGCGTACCGGCTCTGAAAGCTCACGGAGAATTCAACTACATGTTCGCTCATGCCGAATATTCCATGTGCATATTCCTAGTCAACGAAGGTTACAACCACGCCATGTTTCAGATTTGCTTCTTCTTGTCCTCGTACGTCATTCCCCTAAGTTTGATTTTTGCTCTTTACCTATTGATGCTTAAGAGGTTGTGGTTCGGTGTGGCACCCGGTGGACACGTTAGTTCCGAGAGTGTTCGATCGAAGAAACGTGTGACGAGAATGGTAGTAGTGGTCGTAGTCATATTTGCAGTTTGCTGGTGTCCCGTACACATCGTACTGGTCATGAAAGGAGTGGAAGCCTATCGCTTGACACCAGTGGGAATAGCCATACAGATTGCGGCGCAGATTCTGGCTTACATGAACTCGTGTGTCAACCCCATTTTGTACGCTTTCTTATCCGATAATTTCAGAAAAGCTTTTCGGAAAGTAATCGCGTGCAACCCACGAATGGGCAGAACGAGAAGAGGTGACTACGAACGAACCGAAAGGGAAACAATGGGCACATGCGCCACCAAATCGTCGACTACGAAAACATCAAACGACATCTTGTAATTTCGTCACAAATGATAAATATATTTTCTGCACACAAAGATGAGACTATTTTGATACGCCGTCGATGCGAATCTAAACAACTCACACCCTATTGATACATATGAGAATTCTCGAATTGTCTTCACACGAAATGCTCAAAACGTTCCAGGTACGGACAAGACTCGACTTGTTATTGCTAATTGTCTTCACTGACTGTAATGGGGCTCTACAATCAGTGAAGGAAGGTCTGCGAATTATTTTAGCCACTGACGTTTGCGAGTCATGTACAATTTTCTTCACTTAGACGACTCGTTTTAACCCGATCTCACCCAATGTCGATTCTTCTTTCAATGTGTATCAATTAAATGTCCTATATCTCGTTTCGGTATATTTATTTGTGTCTTTCAATAAATTCCGATTATTGACTTCTTAATTATAATGGAAAGCTTCGAATTGCTTACTTAATTAAGTTATATATTTCTCTATATAATATGCACGATTCTACGATAAAAATACCAGTTATAAAATTTGTTGAGCGCGCACGAAATATATACGGGGGTGGCCCAAAAGTTGGTTAACCACAATGAAGATTAAATTGTCTTATTAAATACCTAATCGCACTTTTATAATACATATTTCTAAACTCGATTTGTGATTTTTATATTTACGAGTGCAACTGTAACACACAGAACAAAGCAGAGTTAACAGACTTTTGGGCCGACCTTTACGTAAAATTCTGTATTATTTAAACAATTTAAAAGAAACAAATGTTACTAGAAATGTCTAAAAACTGTTAAAACGACGGCAACAAAATAAAATTCGGTAGAACAATTATTAAGAACAAAAAATCGTCAACAAAGTTGGTGAAAACATTTAGAATTCCTTACAATTGTGGTAACAATCTTATTGAGAAAGAATGGAATTAAATTTGTTTTTGTAGAGGAAACAAAATAATTAATTTAAGTTAAATGCAAACTTTGTTTTTTTTTTCTTTCTTTCTTAGCAGCAATTATAAATATTCAACAGTCTCTCAAGTTGTGTTAACCTCGCAAGGAATCAATTCTGTAGACATTATTGCAAATCGTCACCAATCTGTTTATGCGAGGAGGCAATTTCCTGCTAATTCAATAATGCTATTAAAGTGTTTTCGTTTCTTAAGCCGTTTAAGGGATAACCAATGCGAATGTAACGATTTCGATCGCGTAACACAAACGATAACCATTGGAACTGCTGAAAATCGAATTAAGTAACGAACTCTCCATTACAATCGCATTGGAAACAACACTTAATTGCCTTATTAAATTACGTAAAATTTGCGAAATAAATTAATTTTAAGCGCGAAGATGAGTTTTATTACTTATCTCGCTCGGTTCGAAAGGGGTGCAATCGTTCGTCACCATAAAACTGTGTATTGTTGTCGCGGTGCAACGATTTACGACAAGCGAGTGTCGACTTTATTAAGCCGTTTAGTCATCATATCGAGGTGAGATGGAGTGTAGAGAGCTCTGTTATCTTAAAACTGCACGTTGTATACGGGTGATAATGCTCCGAGTGTGCATTCGCATATACGGCTTATCGAATACACACCTTTTTTTTTTAAATTCTTTCTTCTATACCTTAATTTCCTTTCTTCTATATCTTAATTGCCACGTTGAAAATGAGGAAAATTCTCATTTATCTTTAATTTTAATGATGTATTAGACTATATTTCCTATGATATTGAAGAGAAGAGACGTCCATAAAGCAAAAACTCCCCAAAGCACCATTACGTTGTTAACAAAGAACATAAAACGTGTAATAAGAGATGCTATGTGAATTTCTCTATAAGTCAAACTACCAACTTCGAGAATTCTTCGAATAAATAAAACATCGTCGACATTTATATATAATATAATATAATTAAAGTTTTTCTATTTTAGACTCTTAAATAAATAAATAAACCAGCAAATAAATTAGCTGTTAAAGAATTAAACAACTAATAAAATTACGTTTTAAATTAGGATTTAAAATTTCATAGAAATTGCCTAACGAATTCGGCACGCGACCTTTAACCTCCGAACTCCACAAAATTTAGCATAATTTAAGCGATTCAAATCCCCGCATCATTATAATCAAATTATAATTATAATTAGCAAACTTAATGTTAGAAATAAAACAAAAATGAGATTGTTTACAATAACCAAATTGAATTACAAAGGAGTCGTACAACATCTTAATTAAAAATCTAATCTTTCTAACATCTAAGATTAGAAATTCTTACTTTGTATTCGATCCCCGATTTTATATAATTATCCTGTATTAACTATACTTAAAAAACATCCTCTTATATTCTTGTTATCTACTAAACTCCTTTACTTACTCCTCGAATCTTTGATTTTAGAAGTTCCCTTTATCCTCTTACAAACTCTCAACCCTTCTAAAATCAGGTATTTTAACACAAGAAAACCCTTCTAGTTCTACCTCCTTCAGAATTCCCGAGGGTAGAAGACTACTACTCACTTTTCCAGAGGACTTGATTTTTTTACACCCAAAAGAAGTGTAAAGTTCGGGTGTAAAAACAAAATTCATTTCGCCTTCAGGAAAGATGCTTTCTTAGAAGGAACCTCACACCTTCTCTCGCACCTCCCCAAGGGTAAAGCCGGCCGCACGGGTTAAGGACCGCTACTCTAAACTAACAATACATCGGGTTAACATATTTTAATGAGGTTTTTTTGTTTTAATTATACTAAATTAATTTTTTTTTAATTTCTAATTACTTCCTCTATTGTTAAAAGGAAACGTCGGTTGTAAACAAGAAATTTCGATAATAATAATTGTCAGAGAGCCGTTGCATTTTTAGTTACAGTCCATAATATCAATAAAAGTTAACCCCATTTTGTACGCTTTCTTATCCGATAATTTCAGAAAAGCTTTTNAAAGATAAATTTTTACGTAAGTCTTTAGACATTTTAAGAGATAAATGTGCCGAAATAAAGATTAATTAAGCTAAAAGGAGCCGGCAACTCCTTAAAAAAATCAAAAGTTTAATAAATTTTAGATAAATTAATAAAGAAAATATTTATTAAAAATTCATAATTTACAATTTGTATCTATTTAAACTTATATTTTTCTTCCATATTTTTAATTAACTGCATAATAATATTACATTTCTTACATAATTTTTAAAAGGATTTTAATTTTAAAAATGTTTATTGCGTAATTATTATTAATTTATAAAGCGTAAATTTAAATTTTTATTAATAAATTATTTATTATTTATTGATATTTAAATAAAGTATAAGAAAAAGTATAAAATTTATAAACACGTTCTTTTTTTTTATTTGCTGATTTATATAAATTTGAATTGTAAATTAGTAGATATTGAATTTGTATAAGCAATAAAGTCAGAGCGGATATTATTAATAAATATTTATACGCATTGAAAACTTTTGAAGTCTTCACAAGCCTTTTTAAACCGAATCAAACAACTGGCTCTACTGAAGAAAATCTCACAAACAGAAAAGTTTATTTTACGTGGAACACGAAGATATAATTTGTTGTAAGCATTTTCGTATAGAAAAATTCTCAACAGTTGCTAGGTTAATTTACTAAATTTCTCTTTCTGTATTTAAAATATTTAAATATTATTAACATTATAAAATATTTTATGCATTAAATAGAAGAGTATACCGATGAATTTTTAAAATTTAATCCACGATAATGCTGTATTTAGTTCGTTGACATTCGATATTTGAGCTTCTGTCAAAAAATATTCGTAAATATTTTCTTCATAAAATACCGTATAGAATGCCTTTTAAATCAATATTTTTTTAAAAACGCTTCACACCTCGTGTCGTTATAGTTATGGACGATTTTCACTTTATTCTCTCGAGATTTCGGCCTGGCATTATTTCAGTTTGCGCGATGTAATTCTAGACCCATACATTACCTCGATTTTACCCTGTACGACGGCGTAAAAATCCTCTTCGTCGGATAAATATGAGCGAATTATGACGTGTTTGTAAACACTGTAAACGTTTTCATAGCTTCTCCTCTATTCCTCTTGTCAAAAGGGCGAGACTTTACGCGGAGAGAAGCCACATCTCTTAGAAATATCAACTACACAGTCACTATATGATTTCATTCCTTGTGTATTTTCATCTATACAATCAATACGATCCATAGTATCGTATGAAAATCGTATTTTAATCGGAAATCACTTTTAAAATTTTCACGAGATCAATATTTGTATATTTATAAAATGATAAAATAAATAAATTGTAAGAAAGTTATTCTTTTTGTTGAAAGATTGACTTAATTAAAATTACGTGTTTCTAAATCACAGTTCATTTATATCTTAAGCAGAGTACAGTAGTGTATGTACAATGGCGGTCATTAAAATTGCTAGACTAGGAAGGAAAGCGAGTAGCGGAATCGTGTTTATTGTACACACAACACATTTATTTAATTTAAAATATAGGCTTTGATTTTAGTAGTGTCTTGCCCCTGTACATCATACTTTTCCTGTTAACAATATCGTCGTGCCAGTGGTCTAACTCTGTTTCCTACGGCGGAATTTTTTGGGAAAAATTCCGCCGTAGGGCCACCGGCAAAAAGGGCAATTGCCGATGGGGCCGGCAATTGCCCTTTTTGCCGTAGAATAAAGTACTACCGAACAAAATTAGTCTCAAATTACAAGAACCATAATGAACCATACAGTTATTTCGAGTTTTATTCTAATAAACAACATAAAATCGTTTCCTGTTGAATACCATTAAATCAATGTACACAATTCAATATTCATATAAAAAGTGATATTTAATAAAATTTCGGGAATATTTAAATAAAATAACAACAAAATAATCTTTAAATTATTCGTAAAAAAATCGAAAAACATTGAAGCATCCTTTGAAAAGTTTAAAAAATTACATTTGTTGTTGTAATATTCTTTATTATTATTCCGCATACGAATATGTATAATAATAAACGTAGCAATATAAAATTAAGCCATTCCATTTGATTAAATTAATCTCTAGAAAATCCTTTAACCAAATTGCGTTACGAAATAATCAAAATACATAAATCGTTTGTTATCGATCCGGTTGTTATAAGAGACGTAATAATAATCCACGTAATAAATAATTTATTATTTATTTTATTATCGAGTTATAACGAAGATAAACTCGTTAATTATGTTATTTATTGCAACTTTTATTATCAATTAATTATAACGTATGCGCCTTCGTCTGCCTGAGTGAACTCACTCCCGATGTTCCGCTCCTTAAAATATCACAGAATTAAGAAATTTCCTTCGTGATCTGTGTTAAAAAATAACTAAAATAGTTAAAGTAGGTGTTATATTTACTTTATTTTTATGTACATACGTGTTAAAACAGTAAATAAATCCGCATGTTCGTGTCCCATTCGGGGTTGACCCTTTAAAACTGAGAATAACTCCGCAACACGTGTAAGTAACAATACGAAAATAG